AGGTACAGTACACTGACACTCACCGAGGTACAGTACACTGACACTCACCGAGATACAATGGGAGAAGCTGTTGGTTAAGACAGAGGCTGCACAGACCACAGAGCCCACTTAGTTCCTGGTCCTGAGCTAGAAAGCTGGCAAGCCCTTGACTAAGATTATAAAATCATACGATAACTGAACCATGACATCCGTGAGGGACCTCAACAAGAAGAAAAAAATGTGGCTAACATAAAAATTAGCACCACATCACAAACACTGTCTGGCCAATCTCTCTCCTCCAGTCCAGCCCAAAATACCCAGTTTTGCAAAAAAAAAGCAGGCTGCTGTGGCTTGATTGCTAATTTTGTTAGGAGCCTATTTTAAGAGCAAAAGTAGCTATCCCAATTTGTCCCAAATAATTTGAGACAAGTCTGAATGAAAGTAGATTTTTAACGAAACAATAGGCCTACCTATAAATACTAGCCCATCCTGCAGAGCTAGAAGAGATTCTGCAATGCTGGCTCAGGGTGACAATCTACCAAGATCTACCTCAGCTTACCTGCCAGCCACCTGGTGAGCCATAACTCCTACCCACCCTGAGCCCGGCTCACTTCTTCCCAATCTCCAGGGCAAGGGAAGGACCATGCCAAGGTTTAATTGCTGGCACTGGGTCGGGAACTCCCGCTTGCACCTGATCACCAGCTGGTAGGTACAGCGGACTGTCAGAGAATTGGCTTCCCTGAACATACTCCAGTGATGTCTTTGCGTTTATGGCTCTTTGTTCTGTTTTTCTGAGACAGGGTCTCGACTAGTCAAGGCTGGCCTCAAACTCATTAGAGAACATTTGGGAGGTTTCTAAAGGCCATGAGTTTCACAGTCCTCACTTAGAGAGGGGGAAACTGAGGCACTACACACTTCCCCTACCTGCACAGTCATACTGCACGTATGGTAACCAATAAGGTGGTAGCCACACGAATGTCACACAAATTCATTTTTTTTTCCTCTCTCCAATACTAGGGATGGAACCAAAGCCTTATGAAAATCAGGCCACTGCCCTCCTACTGAGCAACTCCCTCAATCTGGTCCCAGCACCTTGGGGTTACACACAGCATGCCCCAAGAGCTCCAGACTGTTCTCTAAACAGATTACCACTTCAGCTTCCTTTGGCGACCACACCCCTGCCAAGGTGTCATCTGCCCAAGCCTGATGCTGGCCCATAGTTCTGATGCCCTCTGGGAAGCACATAACGGGGTGGGGAGCGGGGGTGGTAACCAGAGCAGCTCATCAGGCTGAGAGCACAGACAGAAATGAACAGGGCAGTGAACTGAGACAGGGACAAACCTGGAAGTTTCTCCTGCCTTGCATGAATCTGATATGCACTTCAGAACCCCCAGGGACCCAACCCCAAGAGGTGCCTGGTTGTCACCCCAGTCACACACAGCCTCCAGCACAACAGTGTTAAGGCCTCCTACAAAGTAGGTCAGGAAAAGAGTCAGAGCAGCCCACCAACCTACAGGAGCAGGGGGCAGATGGACCTCAGTGTAGCCACCAACTGAGGGTGTCTGAACACTGGCGTGCTCACTGTGACGTGCCCACACCCTTTCCCTAAAACTTGCTGGTAAGACCTAATTTGTAGACGTGGTTAAATCAGAAGCCCAAGATGGATGTCTTTATAATTATCCCAGTGGGCCCTGAATCTCATGATCAGCATCAATGGCCATTAAAAAGAAAAGAAAATCTCCAATAAAACACTAGCAAAACAAATTTAGCAACCTAGTAAAAAATACTATACACCATGACCAAGAGGAACTCACTCACAGGATCCAAGGAAAATTCAAATTAAAAAACTGATTAGTTTGAGACTGAAGAGATGGCTCAGTGGTTAAGAGAACTTCCTGTAAGCTGGGCGGTGGTGGCCTTTAATCCCAGCACTTGGGAGGCTGAGGCAGGTGGATCTCTGTGACTTCGAAGCCAGTCTGGTCTACAAAGTTGTAGGCCCATATTTCTATATGGTGGCTGCCAGGCGCTGAAGCCATAGAGGCCCACCTGAGGTGATCACGTAGCTCTGCAGACAAGTGGTCTCTGCCTAATGAAAGTCAGGATGTTTGCTGCTTCTTTCCTTGTAATTTGGAGGATGCCTTATAGAGATGCTGATTCAATCCTATGTGTCAGCTATCATACTCAGCAGACAGGTAGATGCGGACGTGACAAAAGGCCATTCACCTGGTTGCCTAGGAGACAGAATGCTGGTGTATTTGCCTGCTTAGTTTATGTGTTGGTATAAAAGCTGTCTGGATAATAAACACGAGATCTTCAGGAGGACCCTGAGATGCCCTTCTGTGATGACCGTGTAAGCTGTGTCTGATTATTCCTTGCGCCTCCATACCAGTCCAGTTAGGGAAAATAGCTATCTATGTTGGAGCCACACGGGCGCTAACACAAAGTGAGTTCCAGTACAGGTAAGGACTGTTACACAGAGAAACCCTGTCTCAGAAACCAAAAAGAAAACAACAACAACAACAACAACAACCTCTTTGCTTTCCCCGAGGACCCAATAAGTACAGAACAACCCACTGACAAAATCTAGTATCTAGTCAGCCAAAAACAAACAAACAAACAAAAAACAAAACAAAGTCCCATTTTAAAATTAAGGAAAAAGAAAAGCCGTAGTGGTGGCTCACACCTTTAATCCCGGCACTCAGGAAGCAGAGGCAGGTGGATCTCTGAGTTCAAGGCCAACCTGATCTACAGAGCAAGTTCCAGGACAGGCTCCAAAGACAAAGCAGAGTGGATGGGGACTGTGTGTGTGTATGTGTGTGTGTGTATGTGTGTGTGTATGTGTGTGTATGTGTGTGTGTATGTGTGTGTGTGTGTGTGTGTGTATGTGTGTGTGTGTGTGTTACTGGTGACGGAACTTAGGCTCTTAACATATCTCAGACAAGTACTCTACCACCATGCTATATGTCCAGTACCCTGCACTTCTCCAGTCTGGGCACACACCTGTAATCCCAGAGGCAGAAAGACCAGCATTCAATGTTATCCTTTGCTACATAGCAAGTTTGAGACCAACCTCAGGTGCATGAGACCTTATCTTAAAGGGGGAAAAAAAAACCTTACCGCAAAGTTACAACAACCACATCAGTCACTTTATGCTCAGGCCAGTGGAACGGTCCGGTCGGTTATCACTTTCCAGATAAGAGCTATGTGTGGGAGAAGAGATGTGTTTGGTTTGACAAGGCAGAGTCCACCACGTGGGCAAAGGCATGGCAGCTCCGTGGTGGCAGGAGCGTGTGACAACTTGTTCATGCCTTGGTGAACTGGGGACCAGAGAGCTCCTACTAGAACCTGGTGAGCTATAACACTCTAACCCTACTTAAGTCAGCTAGGTCCAGTGTCCAAAAGGATTCAAAACTTCCTCAAACAGCTCACTAAGTTATAAGAGCTAGTGCGACAGGACCAAGTCTTCAAACACACGAGGCTACGGCTGGCATTTCATAATCGAGCCATGGCAGACAGAAAGCCCAGAAACAACCCCTTCCGTATACATGAAAACAGTTAACAAGCATGACAAGACCTTCATTGGGCAAAGGAAAATCTTTTCGACAGTGCGGGCAAAAGTTAGACTCTTACTAGACATGAAACATAGGAACTAAACTAATATGGATCAACGACTCAAAGATGAAACAAA